TGTCCAGTGTTGCATGCCACAATTCTACCCAACCATGTCTTCACTTCCCTTCATAGGCTTCTACAGCAGGACTTAGATGGGGGCAGTATTGGAAGAAAGTAGTAACCGGTTTTTGTTACAGTGGGGGAGCCAAAGAAATCCTCTCTCAGATAAAGCCTGTGCTTTAGTGTCCATTCATGTTGTTCTGGCCCATCTACTTCACAAAAAAAAAAAAAAAAAAAAAAAGAAGGGGAAAACGTTCTTTCCCCCCAGCACATACACAGTATGAGCTCATGACTATACCAATGCAGTAAGGATAATAATATACCTTTCTCAATAACACTCTGTCATCAAAGAACTAGAAATGACCAAAAGAAAAAAATTCTCCCCAAATCCCACCCATGCAATAAGAATCATTGTTCCTAACTGTATGGCTTCATAATGGACTTGAGATTGTTAGAATGTAATTGAAGTAATTACATACTGAATGCAACAGGAAACAGACATCTTAACTTCTTTCTAAATAATTACAAATAGCATTTTCATAAGGCTCCAAATGCCGCTCCCAAAAGTACCAAAATCACTTAGATTGACTTGAAAGTTTCACCCAACCTATTTGACAGACTGATATTCAATAAGCTTCACTTTGTGGAGAAAAGGATCAAATTAAGGGTTATAAAGATGCAATCAATCAATAGCTTATGCCATTTTTTGAGATTTTAGGCATATTTTTATGAAGGTGATTTATAACCACTTCTTCACAATTACTGTAATTTCTGGTATGAGTTATTTGCAAGTCCTAAAGTAGTGGTTAACATACAACAGTAACTTACAGCATTCTGCAAAAGTGTGAGCTAATGCAATGTAAAGCCAGAGCCACATTCATAAGGAAAACATTTTGCTGTTTGGACAGAGACACCTTTCACCTCTGTGCATAATCAGTCAGTGAGTTGGGGATAAGAATAAAGAGATTATTCTCCATCCTCACACTGCAGGAACTTAGTCTTCACTTCATGGGAGGACATATTTAACGTATTTTCTAAAATAATACTAAAAGAAATTGAATTAATTTTACATTTTTTGGGCAAGGCTTTAACAATAATCTGCTCAAAGTCTCCCAGACTTAAAGGGCTTCTTGTCTAGGTCTAACAGCAGCAGTAGCAGCAAGTGTGAGTTAACCCAGAAAATGGTAATTTCCTGTCAAGAGCCCTCCAACAAATGTCGCTTTTATATCTGGCAAAGATCACTAGGCCCCAGTGTTTTGAGTTCAGCAAGCTTAAGCACTCTTCATTAAACCGGATGTAGAGTGTGAAAGGTGATTCAGGCAGCATGGGCAGGCATCCGCCCAGATGGCTATGCTTTGGACACTCCAACAAGGCTGAATAGATGCTTCATTGGGTGAGTTAATAGTCAGGCAGAGGCCAATGAGTACTTTAAAAATATTGTCTTTCCATAGTCTCTTCACTGT